TTTTGGAGGTTCCTTTATGACTGGAATGAATCTATAAATTAGGACTTCCTAAACTACTGCCCACTGAGCAGATGCCCTAGTGGATAAATAAATCTCCCCAAGACATGTCTTAAATTGTTGGGAATGTACTGGGAAACCTAGTGAAAAAGTGGAAGCTAAAGAGACTGCCAAAGCTATTTGATGAGCATATGAAAATTACAAATTGCACAGTTTCACTGCTGCACCATAATGAAAGAAGAAATGAGACCTAACAATTTATACTCTACTGTACTGGAATTCACTGGCTACCACAGGACAACCTGTTTACAGTAAGATTGAACCTAGAGAAGATGCAAAGACATTCCTAACTGAATGTAAGAAATCAGCAGTGTTCCTCTTCAATGACTTATTTTAAGTTGTAAAACAAAACGGATGAGTGCTACATAAAGATCTGCGGCCTGTGATCACTCTTTTCCTAGATTTATTTTTGGCAGGAGGTTCTGACACCTGAACAAGGGCCATGAGGTTTCTTCCACTAATTGATCACATTGAAACTCATGGATAAAAATAACGAAGAAGGTATCACACTTTTAGGCTGTCAAATTTCCTTCTGCACTAGAATGTTAGAAATTTGAGTCTCCAACTCACAATGCAGCTTTGAAAGTAAAAATTGTTGTGAGATACTGGTATTCTCTTTTTCTCTGTCTGCTAACACAAAGCCTGATGGAGGAGAAGTCATCTCTTAAGGGCTGGCAGAGAGTGAGGCACCTGCCTGATCTCTTTCTCAAGATTATTCTATTTTCAGCATGCCAGAATCTCCTCTTCTCCTTGGGAAATGTCAGCAGTGCAGCACCTTGACCACGCTGCATTGCTGAGCAGGACATTCTGTATCCAGTGACTGCTTTCACTCTGCCTCTTCTGTTTTTGATTGTGCTGTGCTTTGCTTTCAGCTGCAGTGCTTTTCTGCAGCGCTGAGCATTAGGAGCACTGGGAGAAAGTTAGTACTGGGCAGGATCTATGTAATTTTTCTTTTTGCATTAAAGCATTGTTGCTTCTTTCAGCAGATCCTTTACCAAGAGCTAGCATTCAAATAACTGCTTTTCATGATATACCTTAAGTATTTCAGAAAGACAGCAAAGGAAATACTGTGTAGCCCAGAAGCTTTTCATAAACACTTATATGAGTGGCTAGATGATTAAACACTTTGCAGGATTTTCCTGTCCTATGGCTTTCAAGGACAGACTACCTGCAAGCTTTAATTAACATCATTATTGGTCTCTAGAAAGAACCATTAGAGGATATGGTTACAAATGATAATCATACACAGCCACTCTCACTGGCAAAGAAGGAATGAACTTTTCCCCTCTTAGTCTCTTTCACATGTATTGTCTTCTGATCTCTTTTCCTTTTGCAACATATTCAAATCTAATCCAAGTGGCCAAGGTCTTTCCTTTCTAAACCTGTATGGGAAATTCGTTGTGATCAACATCACACGTTCTGTCATAGCTGCCATTGCTATCAATCATTTTTTCTTGCTTAAAATATATGCATTTTAATAGCATCTGTGGAAAAGCAGGGAATTTTTGGTTCATGAGAACTGGAAAAAGAAAACTTACAGTTTTCAAATGAAATGTTAAATGTTAAATATGTCTTATTTTTCTTCACATTTACCAAAAGGTTTTAATTACTGTTCACTCCAGCAGGACTTGCCAAATTTACACTGTCATTCATTTTATTGGCACTGAATTGTTTAATGCCAAGCACTGAGCAGTTTGCTCTTCAACCCTGTTGAACACCTATATTCGTGATGGGCCTGATAAATTAGCAATCACCTTAATTGTACAACCCAACTAAAAGAAAAATAGACAAGTGCACTAGGTGTAGTCTGTAAGGACAGCTCACAGGTGGGTACACTTTTGAAGAACCTTTGTAAATAGAATTTTAAAGAAAAAGACAAACCCCTAAGTCTGCAACCATATGATGAATTTTGCTAAATTTTAGGTATCTCTCTAAATATAATTTAATACCAATTTCTTGCCATGATATTTTTAACTCTCAGTTATATGACAAAGCTTGAGAAAACAAACAGTAAAAAGAGCTCAGTTGACAGTTGAATTCCCATTTAACAACAGCTTGTTCCTTTCTGAGCAGTAATCTGCACCTATATTCGCACTGCACGCTACTAGCAATTGGTTCCAGAGACTTCTGCCTATGCAGGAAATATGAAAGGTCCTTTTAATAGCCTTTTAATAGGTTCATTTTAATAGCTTTCTAGATATGCCGGCGAGAGTAGTTCATTTACTGGATGGATACATCTAAGCCAGACCAATTCTTGTGGAAATCTCCCAGTCCTCCCATGTAAGCAAGTTTCCTTGCCTCCTCATCAGATGATTACAGGCCTTGTTTGCCTGTGAGGGTGGAGTTCACAATCTGTAATCCCAGAGCAAGGAGAACAGACAGGAAATATCTACTTTTTGGAGTGTGTGTCAGGAACACAGCATCTCAGTGAATTCCTAAACATTTCTGTCGAGATACAGAGGAAAGGTCTGAAGAATTTGCTGGTATGTGTTTATATTGAATCATTCAAGCAGATACCAGATGCCCTTAAACTACTCTGTGCCTGGTTAGTTCCTTTGCCTTATGCTGAAGTTACAGCCATCTCACTCAATGCACGTCAACTGCTAGTGCTCATAAGTTTAGACCACAAATCAAATGGATTCATTTTTTTTGCAGCGCCTAGTTGCCAGATAGTTTAGATGCACACAATGTGAAGTTCCTAGACAATGCAAAATAGCAACTGTGATCCACGAGTCTTCTGCTCACAACCAACTACAGTCCCTGGAAATATGCCCTCACGTACGCGTCATTGCTTCAACGCTGCTCAGATCCTTCCAGCAAGAGACAAGAAACACCTTCCTTGCTTGTAAAGGACTGAGAAGGATCTTTCTACATCCCTCCTTTCTTCCCCAGTAATATTTCTTAGATATTTTTAGAGCAACAAATCATGTATTAAAAAAACCCAAACTAATTTCAATTGAGTTTTCCTCCTCTGGCACACATGTATCCATTTTCAAGTATACTTCATTTGCTGATTATCTCCTATCTAGTCAAAACATGGACAGTATCGATCCTTTCATTTTATTTAAATGAAAAATGCATAGTGAAGTCCTCATAGCCATACTTCATAGAAAACAAGATTAAGCTCGCTCATGAAGAAACACTACTACTTTTCAGAAAATTAGGAACCAAGCTGTATGCCTGCAAATTCCTCATTGGCTATTTGGGAACTCTAATATGTTACTTTATTTTCAGACTAGCCTTTCTGAAAGTCTTCTCCAAGCTAAGGCAGGATGTGAAAGTAACAACATTAATTGGTCCATCTTGTAGTACTGTCAGTAACACAGTTGATACCTGCAAGAGGCTACTGAAAGGTTTGGATCTACTTATGCACAGTTTCCGGACAGTGAACCACACATTCTCAGCACTCCTTATCTGACAGCCTGGATTTTAAGATGAACATGTCTGTTCATTCTCTGTGGGCTACTCTGTTAAGCAAGTATACCACATTACTTGCATGGTCCTTCCTTCTAGTCCTGTGGAGATCTTAGTTCTGGTTATCTTTTACTGTCTTTGTTACTTCATAGCCCTGTTGATGAGCTGATCTAAAAAATCTGTTTGCTGATGTACTGTATTGTTCAGGCAGTGGGGAGGAGTTATGGAGACGGGCAAGTGCAGAACAATTCCTCTTCTCCATTTTATGGGCTGTCTCACATAGGAATTGTTACCATTGTCTGAGTCTAAGAGGAATTTCAAAAAATGTTTCAGTTTCTAACACTGGCTTGTGTGTAGACAGAGCAGATGTTACACCCAAGCCCTCCATCCAAAGAGGACTGCTGAGTGACTGTCAACACCTGGAGACCCCTCAACTCACTGTCCTGCATCCAAGTTCTCTAAGTGCCTTAACTGATCGAGATTCCCTCCTTAATTCTCTTGTCAAATTATTTATAGTAGATATAGCCACATAGTTGGTAAGATATAAAAATTTTCTAATTATATCTAGTCAAATCAAATGACAATTATGTCTTTAGATAAGTCTGCCAAACAATGCTTTGCCAAAGAAGGTTGGCCAAAAATGCTTTGACCGAAGAAAGAGGAAGAATCCAGAGCATCTGCATACCAGACTCTATAAAATCTCCTTGGGACTATTTTGCCCTGCTCTCACTGAAAGTTTCAAGGTAAGTGTATGGGTTCTGTAGGATTGCAGAGACTGAGCATGTCTTTATATCGCATGTCTCACTGCATTCTGGTTGCTTCTGATAACCAGAAAGGAGGGCTTCTAATAGCTAAAATTTTCTATCTGCTTCCATGGCATCTTTTTATTTCCAACTTAACATTTACCTCTGGAATACTAAGGAACAAAAAGAAGAAAGTTACCAGCTTGTCAATATACTAGTGACTGACTTAGAGCCTCTGATGTCATAAGAGGGAGCACCCTAAGTTACTGACTGTTAGCCAAATTACCTTGCAGAAAAGATTGGACTGAGCCTGGTATGATGTATACAGTGTGAAAGTAAGTAAATTAACTTTCCACAGATCATGGCCAATGTAAGGACGTCTTGGAGACTCATTGCTGACAAGGGCAACAGAAGAGACATTTTTGCTTTAGGTTTAGTTCTTCAGGATATCAATAGTAAAATGGCAAAAGACGCACCAGTATGATAATACTGCAAAATTATAATCAACATTAAAGATTCTGTTCATAATTAGAAGACTAAAATTATTGAGAATGCTGTCTCATTCTCAAGTGGGATGTAAGTACTTAGGTGTTCAAATCAAAACTAACTTTCAAAAAATGTTATTGAAAATTACATACTAGTTTAAATACTGAAAAGATAGAAACTATAGAAGATTTCATCATCAGCACAGAAAACTATTGTCTAACTGATGGGAAGTGTCTTCTTTCCCCCTCAGTCTTCTGCTGACGTGTCTTCAGTGCAGACATGACGTCTCCGGATGCTGAGATGGCTGTCTTCGGGGAGGCGGCTCCTTACCTCCGAAAGTCAGAAAAGGAGAGAATTGAGGCCCAGAACAAGCCGTTCGATGCAAAGTCATCCGTCTTTGTGGTGCATCCTAAGGAATCCTTTGTGAAAGGGACAATCCAGAGCAGGGAATCAGGGAAGGTCACTGTCCAGACTGAAGGTGGAGAGGTGAGGAAAATGCAAGGCTTGAGAACATAATTTAATTCCTACTCTGGGGTCTTAGCTGACATATATTGGTCTCTCTTCCTTGGCAGACCCTGACTGTGAAGGAAGATCAAATCTTCTCCATGAACCCTCCCAAATATGATAAAATCGAGGACATGGCCATGATGACCCACCTCCACGAACCCGCTGTGCTGTACAACCTCAAAGAGCGTTATGCAGCCTGGATGATCTACGTAAGTACCAGCAGCAGTCTTCCTTTGGGTAGTGAGGAGGACCTGCTCTGCCAGGCTAAGTGGAAGCCAACGTGGTGTCTCTCTTCCTCGCAGACCTACTCAGGTCTCTTCTGCGTCACTGTCAACCCCTACAAGTGGCTGCCGGTGTACAACCCGGAGGTGGTGTTGGCCTACCGAGGCAAGAAGCGCCAGGAGGCCCCTCCACACATCTTCTCCATCTCTGACAATGCCTATCAGTTCATGTTAAATGGTGAGTTGCTTCATATCGCTTCAAATGATATTGTATTGTGCACTTCAGGAAAAATCTTCCTTTTCTCTGCAGATAATCTTTGAACTTATGGAGTCATGTTTACATCATATATGTCAGCTGAGGAACTAGAATTCCCATCTTTAAATAAGATAAATAGCACGGAAAGCACACCGGGAATGTTGTAGAGGGAAGTCTAGAAATTAGATTTTGTAATTGCGGAGTAAAAGTCTGATGGAAAGCAGAATTAGCAATGCTGCAGATGTGTTGGTGCTCTATCTTAACAAAAAGCATGGAACCAAACATTCCTAACATAATATCACCATCAGAAAGTAAGAAAGAATCCCTACAAATTGAAATCCCAAATCCAGATGAAGTTCCAAATGCACTATCAGAGCTTTTTTACTTCCCTAGAACCCCAAATGATAAAGGATTGTCAGCTGAGACAGAGAGACAGAGCTTAAAAGGCAGGAGATAAAATGGAAAAGGGAAGACTGGCAGAAGGGTTAGCTACAAAATGGCTCTTAACTCTCAAGAATAAGATCTCAGACTGACAGTGAAACAATGCTACAGAAATTTTGGTTCAGTGCTCATTAGAGCAGAAGCAAAAAAAAAGACCTTTAGGAATTACTTGGAAAAAAAAAAAAAGAGAACTAAAAGAGCAAAAAGAGCAATAGTTCCATGCTATCATATTCCGTTAAAAATTGGAACATTGACATCCTGAATAATGCAGTCAGTTCTAGTTTTCTCACATTAAAAAAAAGGAGATAGCGGACCTGGAGAAATTCACTGAGGGACAAAACATTACTCGTAGGCATGAAAGAAATCCAGTATGAATAGCTAGGTAAGGACACTTTGACGATGGAGAAGAGAAAACTGAGGGGATATATGACAGAACTTTATGAAATCAAGAGTTATATAGAAATCAAGGGTTGTATAGAAAGTCGAATCAGAATTCATTCTTTCCTTCTGCAAAATGTTTGAACAGCTAGGAAGCATCAAAACAACTATAAGTTGAAACATTTTAAAAAAGCAAAGAGAATTAGAAATGCAACATACTTAAGTCCTGGATATTCCTTATAAAAGAAAATGACATGTCCTAAAGATCTATTTCAATGACTAAAGTAAGGAGATTAATTCAAGCAGAGCCTCCACAAACCATTACGTACAATTATTCCATGCCTGGCTATAAATATCCTTGAATTCAGGAAGGCCTATGGTCTGATCTCATAAGGCTCTTGAGCACCCAGAAAGTGTCATTTCACTTTATTTTACATATTTTAGTCACTTTGTTCATAATGACATTACGAAATAATAATAATTGGGTTTGGTTCTTTCTTATATACAGAAATATTGAGCTGGACTTAAAGATTATTACCTTAAAAAGAAGCTAGTATATTTTATCTTACAACCATAACCAAATAATGCTTCATTTATTATTGGGGGAAGTTAAAAAAATCCTGAAAGGGATTAAGTGTTACATTACCAGGGCATTTTAATTGGGAATTGGCTATCTGGTGTTCCTGCACTCTTAATGAAGCTTCAGTTCACAGGTAGTTTGTCTCATAGATTTTGATTTATCTGTAATTAAGAAGCACTGAGAAAGCTCTTCCTGTCTTTTCACAGATCGCGAGAACCAGTCAATCCTGATCACGTATGTACACCCCCTGCTCGGGTCCCCGCAGGGCTGCCCAATGCCAGGGGACCTCCTGCCTGACCACACGCTCTCTGCTTCTCTCTTTGGCTTGACAGCGGAGAATCTGGTGCAGGGAAGACTGTGAACACAAAGCGTGTCATCCAGTACTTTGCAACAATTGCAGCGAGCGGGGAGAAGAAGAAGGAAGACCAACCTGGCAAAATGCAGGTAAATTAACAGATGCTGGCTTGAATCAAGGCTTTCCTCTGTTCCTCACGTGATTTTTGGAAAGGGTAACCAGCAATAATTATCATCCTGCAGGGAACGCTTGAGGATCAAATCATCAGCGCCAACCCACTGCTGGAGGCCTTTGGAAACGCCAAGACCGTGAGGAACGACAACTCCTCACGCTTTGTAAGTTGTTGCTTTGGACAAAATCCCACCTCATTATAGCAGTAGCGATGGGCTAATATCTCCCTCTCTTTACAAGATAAATGATGCCCCAGCAGTATTCCACATAAAGGAGATGCCAAAAGAACCCATCCAGGCTGAAATGCTGCTTCTTCTCCTTAACAGGGCAAATTCATCAGAATCCACTTTGGGGCCACAGGCAAACTGGCTTCTGCTGACATTGAAACTTGTAAGAGACTATCCAGGCCTTTTTCCACTCCTTCCCAAATTCCCCCCTCCATGTACGTCCCTGTGACTACCTCTTTCTACCTTCCATGACAGATCTGCTGGAGAAGTCCAGAGTCACTTTCCAGCTCAAGGCAGAAAGAAGCTACCACATATTTTATCAGGTCACCTCCAACAAGAAGCCAGAGTTAATTGGTAGGAAAGATCATTATGTCTTTTTGAGGATGATAGATGAGCAACAGTTCCCTCTGTTACCTGGATGGCAAAACTAAGCCTGTGCCTTGTCTCTTCCTGCTTTCAGACATGCTCCTCATTACCACCAATCCTTATGATTTCCACTTTGTGAGTCAAGGTGAGGTCACTGTTCCCAGCATTGATGACCAGGAGGAGCTCATGGCTACAGATGTAAGTACTATAGAGAAAATTTTTTCAATGAGATTGTTTAAGGTTGTTGGGCAATATATTTACATCATTGTTTCGTCTGCAGAGCGCCATTGACATCCTGGGCTTCACTGCTGATGAAAAGACCGCCATCTACAAGCTGACCGGGGCTGTCATGCACTACGGGAACCTGAAGTTCAAGCAGAAGCAACGAGAGGAGCAGGCAGAGCCAGATGGCACAGAAGGTCCTTAGCAACTGACCTTTAAATAAAGAAATAAGTTTTTGGAAGATACGTTTTTTAGACAGGAACAAAGCTATAGCTTAATCCAGTGAAAACTACATAATGTTTCTTTTACTGTCCATGAAGCTATGAACCTGATTCTCTGATCCCTGACGTATCTTAATGAATGATGCACCTTCAGTTACCTTTTGATGGGCTAGTTAAATACATTTTTCCATTTAGCACACAGAGGGTTTTGATAAGCTCTTTTTGAAGAGACACCTTCCCTAGTTTCAAAGACAGGCTCTAAACTCAGCTGGGGCATGTACATAATTCTCCTATTGTCAGTGCAGACTGTGGCCTATTTAAATATAAGAGCTTTCTTAGATACTCTCTAAGATGCCAAGTTGTAATCTTCATGTATTTTCAAAGTGAAAGTTATTGAAAGCATTTTTTCAGTTCATAAATTCAGTTAAAATGTTCAAGGAAAGTTTTTTTACTGATAACTACTTTCAAAAAAAATATCAATATTGACTTTCACAGCTTTTCTCTATTCAATGTGTTGCTGTGATGCTAGAATAAAAGATTTGCAGTCAAGCATTTTGAACATGGGTGTCATTTCTGAGACACCATCCATTGATCAATTTCTATCCCTGGTCTAATGATATTTTTTTTCTTTGTCTCTCTTGATTTTCAGTTGCTGACAAGGCTGCCTACCTGATGGGCCTGAACTCAGCTGAATTGCTCAAAGCCCTGTGTTATCCCCGAGTCAAGGTTGGGAATGAATATGTGACCAAAGGTCAAACTGTGGAGCAGGTAAAATAATTGGTTACTAGGAATACATGGTTATACCTCAGAATTTCTCTTAAGACAGCCAAAATTCCATAAAATTTCTCTGTGCAGGAACTTTTGTGAATTTCCTCTTTGCTTTAGGTGAACAATGCCGTTGGTGCTCTGGCAAAGGCTGTCTATGAGAAGATGTTCCTGTGGATGGTTGTTCGCATCAACCAACAGCTGGATACCAAGCAACCCAGACAGTACTTCATTGGTGTCCTGGACATTGCTGGCTTTGAGATCTTTGATGTAAGGAACAAGGATTGGGTACCATAGTCAGGGGAGGGCCAGGGATGGGTTATGTGGACCCAAAGACACACTTCTTTTTAAGAAGATTCAGAAGTTTATCCTCCTCATCTGCAGTTCTCTAGAAAACCCTCCCTCCTCTCTGTCACAGCCTCAAATGTCTTTACTAACAAACACCTGGATTCTACCATTGTCAACAGGTAGAAGAAAGCTCTGCTTTCTGACAAATGGTCCCAGAGGCGCTTGAGCTTGAAAGCTCCCAGGCTTTGCAAAGAGACAGCTCTAGGACTAAGGCTTACACAGATATGGGCCAAATGTGTGGATGCTCTTGGAAGAGCCAAGGAAAGGGTAGAGCTACCAAAATGTCACAGCATGTGAATGCAGTGATGATGCTAGGAGTTCTGTGTCAGAGCAGAGAAACCCCCGGACTGCTGATCTGAGTGCAGAGAAATTTCTGAGTGCGACACTGAGGAGGCGTCCACCCTCTGCGAAGTCAAAGAGCTGAGACACCAACACTATGCTGCAGCTAAGGTTACTGAAGGATTTGCTTTTGAGTAGCACAGTAAAAAAGAAATGTTATTTTTAGCTTGATTTCAAAATCAATGAAAATAATAACAATAATAAAACCCTTTGAGGACAGTAATTTTTACACTGGAAGTCCTGGTAAGGAAGCACACACTGCTACAGCATGGTTAGGAGTGGTGTTTCAGCTGGGGAACTTCCAACAGCACTAGGAGAATGCTAGCAAAACGCTGTGCTGTTGGGCACACCTTGAGAACTTGTGCACCTCTCCTTGCTTTGGGCAGTTCAACAGCTTTGAGCAGCTCTGCATCAACTTCACCAATGAGAAACTGCAACAGTTCTTCAACCACCACATGTTCGTGCTGGAGCAGGAGGAGTACAAGAAGGAAGGCATTGAATGGACATTCATTGACTTTGGGATGGACCTGGCTGCCTGCATTGAGCTCATTGAGAAGGTATCCTTCCTCTTCAGGTGCACTAATGTTGGAATTCTCTCATTATTCAGTGATACATAAATAATTTGTTTATGCCAATTAAAATGATAAATTTCAGTTATTAACGTGCTCTATATTTCTGTAATTTCTAATGTTACAGCAATGGTTAAAGGTAGTTTCAGAAGTAAAGATGAAAGGCTGAAAAAAGATGAACATCAACAACCTCATCTTCTATTTTTTTTCACAGTTTTCTGTCCTAAGACTAGCTTCTTTCCAACCAAAGTATCTGTTTCTTTCTCTTGTCTGTTGTAATGTCTTCCAGCCCATGGGCATCTTCTCCATCCTGGAAGAGGAGTGCATGTTCCCCAAGGCAACTGACACCTCTTTCAAGAACAAGCTCTATGACCAGCATCTGGGCAAGTCCAGCAACTTCCAGAAGCCCAAGCCTGCCAAAGGCAAGGTTGAGGCCCACTTCTCCCTGGTGCACTATGCTGGCACGGTGGACTACAACATCACTGGCTGGCTGGAGAAGAACAAGGACCCCCTGAATGAAACTGTCATTGGGTTGTACCAGAAATCATCCGTGAAGACACTGGCCTTACTCTTTGCCAACTATGGTGGAGCAGATGCAGGTCAGCTCTAGGAAAATTCTGTCTTCAATGTGGGAAAATGTTGACAGGAAATCAAAGAGGAAAACCTATGTTTAAAAATATGTTTCCGTTCCATAGTTTGAAGTTTAGCATCTTTATTTTAATATTGTTTTCTCCTTCTTTACTTTACAGACAGTGGCGGCAAAAAGGGTGGCAAGAAGAAGGGTTCTTCTTTCCAGACTGTCTCAGCTCTTTTTCGGGTACATATGCATTTCCTCAATTTGTCACTTTTTACCTCATGAAAGGGAATTTAAAATGTTAAAAATGACGTTTTAATTCTTGAAGTCTTACAACAAGAATATGAAGAAGATTCTGTATTATAAGTAAATTTTATTTCCATGTAAATGGTGAACTAGTTTCTTCTCTTTTTCAACATGGAAATATATTTTCTCATTAATATATGAAATGAAATATATGAATATATATTCATATATGAAATATATGAATATATATTAATATATGAAATGAAAAATCTTTCAAATGAGATCATTCAGATCTTTTGTCCACCTCGATTTTTTAAGCTGAATATGACATTGAAATAAGTCAATTTCTTTGAGCTATTGCACAGTCTATAACATTTGACTGATAGCTTTTGTACTTCTGAATATTTTCAATACTGCTACTATGCAGAATTCATGAGTAATGGAGCAGTAATAAGAAATAAGCTTTTGTACATTACTATGGAAATGATGCAATCTAGTTTAAATCTGACAAACTGTTATCTCCTTTTAATGGAGGAAATACATGCAGCTGCAGGGATGTGGATCTTTCATGTATTGATCTAAACTTTATTTTGTAATCTCACAGGAGAATTTAAACAA